AGATATCAACACTGACACAAAATCTGATTTGACTGCACGGTATTGGTTCGTGGTTCCCCCTTGTAAAAATCAGGTAGGAAGTTGCATTTTATTCTTGGGAACATTTGTTCTATTAACTGACCTACAGAAACTCAGTATTAAACTAAATTTTACAGGGCTTAAGTTGTTATTGCTACTAGAAACCAGTTATTATAGATCTGCCTGTGAAATAGCCCAAATACTCCTTAAACTGAACGCATTACTGGGGCTGGAGAAGCAGATTCTGCACAGGGTCATTAGGAAACCTTAGAGTTTGGATAAGTCACTTTCCTGTTCGGAGCAGGAAAGAAATAGGTAACTGCTAGTGGCAATCCCATGCACACCATGGAAAAGCTGTCAAAATCCTTGAAATACCAAGCAACTGCTAATGTCCACAACGCAGGACCAGCAGCAGCCTCTCAGCCAAGCAGTGGGGTTTTCCTTCCCCATCCCTCAGCCATGTGACAGTACCATGAAACATTTTCTCTTTTCCAAATAATTCCCCACTCCAGCAGGGAATTCTCTTATTGTCTACAGGATAAAGAAAATACAAACCCCATAAAACATCCTCGACAGCTGCTAGTATCTCATGGAGCTGCTTGGAAGAAGGGGAAGATAGAGAAACATTTCAGACAGTGATTACATTAAAACTCCAAGCCCTGGTGCTTCAGAATGAAAAGGTACAGGGTGAAGGTGCTGTGGGGCAATCTGTCCTAAATAAATGGGGTGATTTCATATAAATAGCAATGTATTGATCAAACTCTGTGCACAGTACAAAGATTTTCTTTAAAACCTTTCAGAATTTTCTGTGTGGGGAATCGCATTACAAGGGCTGTTTTCATGCAAAAAATATGCATGTCATTTATCAATCACACAATGAATCCATCAGACACTAGATATGTAATGTTATCTCCTTGCCTTAAAGCTGGAAGTGAGATGCCATAAACTTCTCAAAAGTGGTGGCAAGAGATAAGACTGGGTTATATCAAGTCAGATCAAATGCTTCACGCTCAAGCCCTAACCAAAAGCTGGGATTAATATTGCACTGCCTGTAGCTTCGTGGTGGAGTTTGTTACAGTAAGAAGGCATTTCCATGTGGGTGCCTGCTTTTCTGCTGCAGCAGCGGCTCTCTCCTGACACTCCTGAGTTTGTCTGGGATTAGTCCTGTGACACAGGAGGGCAGCAGCAGGCTCAGGAAATTCGGAAAGGAAGGGCTGTTCTGGCCCAAGGAGAAAGCTTGACATGAAATGAAAGCAAGTTTCATTCTGCCCTCCCAACACTAGGGCTCCCTGCAGAGTCAGCAAGTGCTGTAGTGATGTCGATGCCAAGATGCTCATCAAAGAAGTGAGGTTTCATGTGTTGGGGCTGGTGGAGGGGGTAGTTTTCTTTTGGTCAGCGCACTTTCTTGCCCTTGACCCCAGGGTTAACACAATCCTCCCTAATGTAGATTCCCATGGCCTGGAGATTTCAAGCTCAAAACCACCAGTCAAAGCTTTCAAATCTCTGGCACCCAAATGGGTCTGGTATCCAGCAAACGGAACAGGCCAACTCCACCCTGGAGAGATGACAGGGTAACTTGAAACAGGGGAGATGAGGATGGAACCTGATTCCATCTCCTTTCACCTCCTTTCCTGCAGAAAGATCTCCTACAGCCACAAGGACAAGCTAGAGCAGTGTTAAAGAAAGCATAAGACATGTGGAGAGTTTGTTCTGCTGCACAGTTAACCATGCCTCAGTCTCTCCTCTCCAAGGGCTATACATGCACTGGTCTCCAATGAGTCAGTTTTCATTCCATTTGCTCTGTGTTTATTCTTGCTTCCTGCTTTCTGATCCAACTCTCATATTACAAAAATCAGAGGGTTACTTTTATTACCTCATTTGGACACTGATCTTACAAGTTGGATGAACCACCTCATCCTCATAATAAGAAAGATGAGACCGTTTCTGGTTAGATCCCCATTTTTAGGGGGACAGCTAGAAAAGCCTGCAGAAGAGGAGGTGCAGAAAGAAGAAATCAGCCTTCTATCCTCTTCTTCCACAAGTGAGTCTACATTTCTTTAACATGCCTTTTACAGCCACTGGAGGACACACAGCCATTTTACATACCCTCACACATAATCAAGAATGGCCCCAGAGCTCTTGTCCCTATTGCAGAGGTCTAAGAAAGAGACTGGTTTTCACTTGTCCCTAACATACTCTATTAAAGCAAACCTCCTCACCCAGCACCTATCTGCCCAGGTCCAAGGTGCCTTCAGAGGCAGCTTTCCACACATCTGCTCTCACCCTTAAGCCTCACAGTATTTACAACAAGGCTGCACAAGGTCCACGTGCCTCAAAGCCCTTATGGCAAGTGCCAAAAACCTCACCTGCTTGAAGGTGACTGGCTATGCTGAGCTGGCTGATCTTACCCGCTGCCATTCCCCAAGCTCACCATGGTCATGTTGGGCTGAAATTCAAGAGAGCAGGGGCAGCAAAACTCCTCAACTTCAGCTGTCTCTAGAAGGAGTGGGACCGTGGCAGAAAACTCTGTCTCTGCTCATAGGAAGGATGAACTTCCACATCTGCCTTTGCACAACAGGACAGCGAATTTAGAGGGGGGTCAGCCTCCAACACTGGCAAGGGATGCGTGTGCCCATCCAATCCTGCCTTCCTCTGAACAGCTTTCAGGCTGTTGTGATGAATTGAGACAACTTCACATCCAGATCACCCAGCAAAATAGGGATCTTCCCCCAAAAATCTAGAGTAGGAATGCAGACAATACTAAGCAAACGCAAGAACCTTTTAAATGGTGCTGGCTATTACTGAGTAACAACAACTGAGGTCACTGCTACATAGATCAAACTGAACTTAATGCTGAAAAAGAAAGGTGAATCAGTGGATTTCTCTTGTGTACAGCACCAGCGTTTGTGTGTGGTGTTTCTTCACTCTCCATTTAATTGCTACAGTCAATTTTTGCACAGCATCCACAACTTTTCAAACAAAGTGGAAGCCAAAAGGTTGATAATGACACTGCTGGGCTGCAGAAGGCACCCTTACAGAGACACAGCCTTTAGTACTTCACAAGAGAAATCATTCATTCCCCTCTGTAAAGGTACACCCTTTGATGAGCTTTTGCACAAGTGTCCTAGGTTAGAGTAGGAGACAATGTGCCATGGAGAAGGCAAGTGGGCAGCACTCCCCAAATACCACAAGCAGTTGATGCCAACACCAGGGAGCAGGTTGCTTTCAGGGAGCATCACCTGATTTAAACCAGCTTCCTATCTGTAAGACAAACCCACTGACCTCAGTCCAGTTTCACTCTAGGCTAAGACTTCTCTAGTATACAGACAGGACCTCCCTCCTCCTCCATGAAGCCCCACCAGAGCCCTGGCTGAGGTTGCCATCAGCTTCTCAAACATTGTTGCCTGACACAAGTGCTGAGCAGCACAAGCCGCAGAACTTGGGCGTTCTCGTGTCAGGACACTCTTTGGCTATCATTTTCCAGTGAGCCAGATATAGAAAACCCTGGAAAATGAAGGAAGGTACAGCTGAGCATGGGAGGGCTGATTTACATCTCTCTGAGGCCGGTCCCATATCTGTCTTGGATTCAGGACTGCACACGCAGAGGTCAGTCACCAGCCCCTGTCTCCTCTCCAAACGCCTCCAGCTCCTCGCTGCCAAAGGACACCAACCTACCAGGTCCCAGTGTTCGGAAAAACAATCCAGCTCATCTTTGTCCTTTGCACTACAACAGTTGTTTTCACTTGAACAGTTCTGATCCTCAGAACTTCACTCCCCCCATCCCTTCTTTTTCCCGTAGTGAAATATAACTGCGAAGGCTTTGAGGAAGTTCCAGACAACATTGCTCACTCTATTTCAGCACAGACAATTCCCAAATTACCATAATATCATGCACTGGCCTCAAAACCATCCCCCCTCCACCCCAAAGGTTTCTCCCTGAATTCTTTTATGTCACTGATAACCATCAGTTAATGAATAATAACAGCAGCACATGCCTTAAAGGGACCAAAACACTATATCTAACAGCTAGGATTGGGCTGTCACAGGAGGGACCACAGATCAAAGGGGAATGACTGACTCAGCTGCTTTGCTGCTAGACTGGAACAATTTATCTGAATCCCAGTAGGTAGAAATTAAAACAATTTGCAGGGGGAAAAAAAGCACAACATGAAGGTCTCCCCTTAATATTTGTCTCCACTAAGCTGTGCGTGAAAGCCTCCCATCTTTCAGAAGAGGGATAAAAAAGCAGGACTGGATAGCACTTGAAGACCAGGCTAATGAACAACTGTTCTTACAAAAACCTATGTACCCTTATTCCTCTGTGTTACAGTCTACACTGGTAAGGTTGCTACAAGGAATTTTTAGTGAGAGAGACAAGAATTAGTCTGCTGCTTCTCCAAGCCAGGGCAGTCAGTGCTTTATAGCCCCAAGTTATCAATCAGCAAGAAGGCAAGATATTTTTCATACAGCTCTGCCCTCTGTTTCTGAAGCAAAACCTGAGCTAACATGTCCCAGTTGAGACATGTTTTTTTTCATTATGATGTCTACATATTTATTGTTTAATAGCAGTTACACGCTTGTGACAGTGGTGAGCATAGCCCCAACACAGCACTACATGGGAGCCAGTGAGCCCATCACAAGGGGCTTGTAGCAGGCCAGCACAGCAATGGGAATAATGGCAACACAGGGCATGTTATTTCTAAGCTCTGAGCATTATCTGGGAGGAGCTGAGCTGAACAGCCAGAGAGAAGAAAGGAGGCAAAGATGCAGCTGCATGGGAAGTGGAAGGAGCCAGGTTAGAGGTGAGCGATGCCTGTGTGCACAGCAGAAAGGTTCCTGGTACAGAGCCACCACCACAGCGTGTTCCTCACTCTGCATGGAAGGACAGACACCAGATCTCTGCAGGGCTGCCAACTCCCCATCTTTTTCACCAGCAACACAGAGATTTTTTGCCAAACAGAAGAATAAAGGCAAGTCCTTACCTTGGCCTCGAGCGTGTTTAGCCTCTCGGTCATATCCGCTAGTCTCGTGCAGTTCATGCATTCTAGAAAGAGCAAAACAAACCCATGTAAAATTCCTACAGACTTTGTGTTTTACCCCATGGCTTTCAGCCTGCAGACCCTCATCCCTGTGTGATCTAAGGCACGCAGGATTCAAGATCAGTTATGGGGTAGAAATGAGTATTCAAATCCACTGCACAGGTAAGCAGCCATAGCCACATTACATGAACCTTGTGTGGGGATATTTAGTGGGGCAGAGTGTGGAACCTAGCTTCTCATAGGTAGAAGGCAGGTAAAATAAAACATTAAGACTTCTCAGTGCCAACCAGCATTACCTGTTGTCACCAGCAGAGACGCTGCTACCGGTGTAAGCTGGTGTGACACATGCTCCCACCGCACAGGACATGAGGCTGCACAAGCCCTATTCCATTCAACTCTGTGCTGCACCCTCTCCTACACTACGTCCTGATCAAATACGAAGGAAAGCAATGAATATACAAAATGCCCATCTCCGTGGAGTCCTGCTCCATCCCTGCACTCCCAGGCCCTGTTACCATTCCCACAACAAATCATCTGTCTCAGTGACAGCAACAAAATCCAAGACAGACCCCAGGGCTGATGCAGACTGGAGCTGCAACATGAAGTGGTTTTCATCTCACTTTGCTGCATAGAAGTAACCGTTAAGCAGCAACCACCAAAGGGGTCTTGACAGGGTGCCTTAGCAAGAACAAACATTCACATAATGGGTTCTGAGTGCAGTTTAAAATGATTGCTTCATCCAAAGGACATCACTTCTCTAAGCAGAAGGCCTGCTGCTCTGCCTCTGTTTTCATTTCAGCAATTTTAAAGCAAGTGAGGGATGATGAAGCCCCCAATAAAGATTTAATCAACAAGGCACTTTCCCAGCACTTTGCAGGAGTGTTGAAGTGACTGCTCCCAGCTCTCAGAGCAGCTTTCCAGGCTGGACACTCAAGTACCATGACTTCTCAAGCACAGAGGATTCGAAAAAGGGAAAACGACTTGCAGCATGAAATGTTTCAGCGAGTAAACCATCCATAAGTCAGGTGATTAATCACTGTCATCTCATGTGCCATAGAGGAGAAATACATTTGTGTGTGTTTCTGGGCTCCTTAAGGGCCAGGGCCAGTTTTCATTGACTGACCACAGAAGAGGTATTTAACCCTGGTATTTCCAAAGTGCTGGGGATGTTGACCTGTCATTCGTAAACCCCTTAATAGACCATTCAGGTGTAGATCAGGCTAAGGTTGTAGCAATGCAGGGGATGATGAGTAAACTCAATGCCTACCCATGAAACAGGAATAGGTGAATGTGGGTTTTGACCTGACCAAACATCACCCTGAATCCTAGGACTTAGTTGTTGTTCCCCCAACAAGCTTTGTCTCCTTTTGCACCAGGAGCCCCAAGGAATCTCTCCAGTCTTCACCCACAAATACTTCCCAGTTTTATGAGGCTCATGGTATGTAGTGATGGCTTTAAGCCACACAAAGATTTTAGCACATTGGCTCGGAGGGCCAGGAAGCTTGGCTGTTCCACGTTAGTGATTTACAGTCTAAGAAGATTGCTTCAGTGCTAACGGCAACCAATCACCCATTGCATAAACCTTCCCAAGAAATTCTCTCATTGACCCTCTATGAAGAGCTTTGTGGATTCCCAAAGGAGCTAGGCATAGAGCTTCCACCTCATGATACCCAACATTTTGCAGACAAAGCATCTGATGGTTCAGGAACACTTAGACTGAGGGGTTTCCTCACAGCTCAATACTGACACTGACTTTCGTTTATCCAACAGGAAATAACTTTTTTTTTGCTCTCTACGGGACATCTTGGGCAATATTTTTTGGCTTTAATTGGCTCATGAAGTGAGCAAGTGCCATAAGTGCATTATCCCACAGGGAAGGAAATGGGTGAGGCTTGTTTGGTCTAGATCTGCTTGTAGTGTGTAAAACAGGGAATTACATCCTGCATGTAACCTGCTTCATGCTTTTGATCTTGCTCATCCTCATAGAAAGATAAGGCTGTATAAATCCAGTGGTCCCAAGAGCCAGAAGGCGTACCAGATGTGTTACAGAGCAAATAAAATATGGGGTCCCATTCTCCCTTCTGCTGGCTTGCACATATTAATAACTCCCACAGGTTTAGCGAGACTGACTTGACTTGTCTGAAAACCATCTCTGTGCATAACTTGTGATGGATTGATCATTTAAGCCCTCTCTGGAGAGCTCAGGTCATAAAAAAGGGCTCATACTACCCAGGGGTGAATCAACCAGCATCCTGGGGAGGATACTCTTGTTGTCTCTGCCAAGATAGGCAGTGTAGGAACAGCATTAGTCCAGCAGCTCTCTGTTCCTAAATAGCACTCAAAGAGCCCTTTCAGGTGCATTTGCAGCACTTGATCTGAATGAATAAAATGACATAAGGGGGGGAGTAAGCAGCAGTGCCACTGGATGGTGAGATTTGTACCAATGTCATCTTCATGTCACTGATGCCTGCTGAAACATACGGAAAACACAGCTCAGGTCAGAAAGAGAACTACTTAAGCTCAAGTTGGATTTGAACTCTGATCCTTTCCTCTCTGAAATGCCTGGAAACCCAGATCCACACCCAAGGTACTTAGCCTGGACCCAAAACACATTTAACTAATCCAGCAAGTAGACATCATAATGAAAAAAAGATCTTCTTACTAAGGCAAGCCTCCTGCCAACAAATCCTTGTGACACTGCTTTAGCTAACCAGCAGCTGGACCATGCCTTCAAACACGGAGATGAACGCTCAGCACTGCAGCTACAGAAACTGCATTCAAAGCTTGCTCACAACACACTGGGGATCAGGCTGCTTTGAAGGCTGGAACTGGTATCTGTCCTTGCAGAAAGCCTCACAATGGTGGTGACAAAACAAGCCAATAAATATCTTCCCTGACTGCTAAATAGTATCTAATCCTGATGCCTGGAGGTTTCAAGATCTGAAACTGTGAAGCTGAATTTTCTGATCAGGGTGAAAGCAGTTTATTAAACAAGCTTGAGAATCTCACATCATTATTTCACATGCAACGAACAGAACATTGGGACAAATACACATACTCTCTGACCTGGAACTCCAGAGCAGACACTTTCCATATCTGCAGAAATCCATCACTTGTTGTTATACAGAGCCACAGTTTATTTCCCTTATATTCCTAGTTGGCAGATTTGTATTTTTGTAGCTAAACTCCGAGAAAGCAGTTGTGATTTCACCCTGTGAAGCCCAACCTCAAAACACATGGTAGGATTTGTTTTAGAAATATTCCAGCAGGGAGGATAAACAATTGAGATAATGATCATAAGACTGTACCAGCATATTGCGTGACACCCAGTCTGTCTCCACGCTGTTACTGTCCTAGCACACCTCTCCCTTCCCACCCTCCTATTCCCCCTCTTCAGCTGCACAGGTAAAGCAATGCAACTGCAGGGAAAGAAAAGTCTACCATATCAGGGATGTGGTAGACTCCATGTGCTGTAAAATAACAAGTCACGTGCTCTGTGACCTGCTTAACCCTGATCCAAAGGTTGCCACCTATGACCCCTCTTTGCGTAAAGGTTGAGCCAGTGCCTCCAATGCTGCAGCTTTGCATTTGGCTCTAAGCCTGCAGCTTCCACTCTGGATCCACTCCTCCGAGCAGTGATTACCAGTGGTGAATGCCTGATTCCAGGTGCCTTGCTAGCTTGGCATTCCCACACTGCAGCATCTGCATAACTTCATCATTAAATAGCTGCACACTTCAGCTGCTCAAGGGTGAAAGCCCTCAAAGTCCTCACTTGACTTGAGGTAACAAGCAAGGCGTGATAACGGCTTTATACCAATCGGGCTCTAATGATTCCAGCACAGTTACTGCAGTGGCACTGAGGGTAGTAAAAAAACCCATCCCCAAGCCAACATCACCATGGGGCCACAGGTCAGAGTTTTGTGCAAAACAGCACAGAAACCTCTTGGCATCTCTGCCCCATTTCTCAGCTCTGACAGCCCACGCTCATTTGTATACCCAGAGTCTCTGCAGAATATTAAAAGGGCTTTTGGTTTCCCTGCAGCCAGATGCTCAGTAGATATAAATTGCACAGCTCAACTGAAGTCAAGGGATCAAGGCTCTGTCTGTCTTTTTCTTGATGGATTACTCCAAAATTCATATTTCAGAGGGGAGGCAGAGGAGGTGGTTTGTAGCATATGAAAGGGGAGAGAATTCTGGAATCACAAAGCCTTTGTTTAAACAAATAAAATCTTTGCAGTCAGTTTTTTCAAGACCATATTCTGCCATTACAAGAAACTTCAACCTTGCAGTGCAATGGGGCGTAGCACACAGTCAGGCTTTGGGACATGAGAACCGCATTTGCAGCTCATGCTTCAACCTGCCTGGGACACTAAACAATGTACTTTCCTTATCCAAGTCTCACTGTCCTTTCCTCCGTTGCTAGTGTAATGTTTCTTCTGTAAAGGACCAAAGGTTAGATGATGAAAAAGGACCTAGTGTTGCATAGAGAGAAATATGTAAGTGTGCTTGACTGTGGCACAACCCGCCTAGCAGTTCTTCTCTCTCCATCTAGTAAAGTCCACTACTTCCATTGTACTTTTCAGAAATGCACAAAGAAGGCAAACTCTGTTATCCCCAGGGCTGGGGGAACAAACCAGAGCTGCCTCAAGCCATGCCAACAGCCCACATTTAGAGCACCAGGAACACAACAGCGGCTCCATGAAATACAACACAATGGCTTTAATTCTGCGAGAGCAGTGACACAATCAGGGCTACTCTGAGCAGGTCTCATGCCACACTGTTATGGGCGCACTGTCTTACACATCAGTAACACATAACCTGAGCAGGTCCAGTTTGAAGAGTATCTTGTCTTCCAAAGGAAGCAGGAGTCCAGTTTTCCTCAATTAGAAGACACTTTTCTCCAGGACAAGTTCAGAGCAGTCTCTGAACAAATTGGAAGAGCATGGACGAAGTCAGCTAGATAAGTCCAGGCAACCATGTTCCTTTGCAAGGAGAAGCTCAAAAC